TGCTCCTATTTGGCACAATACAATTTGAACTGATTCACTTTATCCATTCACTATAATTTCTTAACAAGGAGAATGATGTTTTCTTATATATTGAATATCACATTAAAAACTTTATTAGTATAATTAGTTATTTAAGAGTTATTAAAATTCATATTTATTTCAATTGTCTATTAGTAACAGATAAGCAATTTGAATTTCATTGTTGCGATTAAGTATTGTTTTTCTAAAATCTTAGTTCGTAGTTCTAATATTACTCCCTGTGGGATCGATATCTATGACTCAATTAGAGCCCTATATTACTTGAGTGATACGTATACTTGCGTTGATAAGTGTGACTTTACCATTATTGAACATTTTATATACATCTTTATCGAATCTATAATCTTTGTTAAATTTTTGGTGTCGTTACTGAGAAATTAAATCTTTTAGCAGCAGTATTAAATGCTTGTATTTTTAAGCATGTATTTTAAGCATGTATAAAGTCGTTATCTTTAAGAAAGGTAGAGGTAGACCTAAAAAGACTTAGGCAAATTATATAAAAAAATGGTCTTAATCTATTAGAATTAAATGACAATATAACACTCGATAGGACAAAATGGAGAAAAATGACTCATGTAGCCGACCCCACTTAGTGGGATAAAGGCTTGTTGTTGTTGTATCAAATGCGCACAATCTAAATTGATATTTGGAAAGCTTGGTATGAAGTAAAAATATTAATATAATTCTAATCATTTTCATGTCTTATTTAATTGTCTCTTATTTAATTGTCCTTGAGTTTTCTTCTCATATATGTTTAGCTAATCCAAACTATGCATTTAATAATATAATAGTTAGGATATATAAATTTGTTATTTAGGGTTTTTTGAGTATTTAATTTTGAAATTTTTATGAACACATTCTTTTAGGCATATTCATCTTTAGCATGATGTTGATTTCATAAATTATAATTTTTGTTTTGCTTAAAAAAAGCTATTATTTATTCAACTTGGAAACTCTTTAACTTTTAAGTTCATAATAATTTGCGCTCTAATCTAGTAGCATACACACTTTTCTTAAATGATTCAAATCTCTTATAAATGTATTATTTTTTTGTTTTCACTTGTATTTAACTTCGTTAGGTTATTATAGAGAGCATAACATAACATTATTTAAAATTTAGTTTGGGAGCAAAAGTTGCACACCTTATTGATTTGATCTTATTCATACCTAATGAGAAATCTCTACTAGCTTATAGTCAAAACTGCATAAAAACTTTCATTATGCTAATTGGAAATATGGTAAGTAAAGATTAACTTAAACATTACACTTTGGATTTCATCATATGGTTTTTTATCTTAATGTTATGCGAACAAAGAATTATATAGAATTTCAAGTTTTTCTACATATTTCTGTGAATACAAATTTTCTTTGAGTAAGCATCGTGATTTGATTTTGTTGAATAATGTGTTGTCAAACATTTTTATATGTATGATTAGTTAATTCATAGAATTGTGTTCAATTTCCCCATAATGTTTTCATGACAAATGATTAAAATAAGCACCCAACAATTTTTACCATGATTTGATTATTTCATGATTTAAAATTTTAAATTTGGCATTATATTAATTCTTTATTTTTTTAAAATATAATCATCAATAATTGGTGACGTAAATTACAAACCTTTTTTTGGATTTTTGAGATCGATTTAGATCTTCTATGATGCATGATTTATTTTGTTGATTAAATTTTCCAAAGAAAATCTTTATTTAGAATAAGTGTATTCAATGGAGAAGGTCTTTGGTGGTTAAATCGACCTAAAATTTATAGTGAAGCCTTTTGATTATTTTAAAGCGGGTGTATATCACAATCAATGCTAGGTATATGCATGTGTTTAAATTTGGAGATAGAAGAGCATAGAGCTACATATTGTCATTAGTTTACAATTATAGAAACATCAATTTAATATAATTAATTAGAAGGAGATTACTGACATCTTGAGCTTGTGTCTTATATGTGACTCATTAGTGGTTTAATAATATCAAAATTATGAGTCGTGTCATTTAATTATTTAGTATGTACTCATATGCATATAAGTATCAATTAAACTATGTATATGATGAGCTATTAAATTAGATTCCTAAAGCCTTTATAGATTGAAGAGAAGCTATAAATGTTGAAATCATGATAATTCAATAATGCAAAATGTGAAGTCCAAGAAAATAAATTAATATGTGATTTAAGTATTTAATTGCATGGCCGCATAAATAACTTCAAGGATGACAAAGAATGGCAAGATTGGGAAAAAGAAATAATGAACTAAATATGTATTCCATATTTAAATATGATAAATGCTAGATTGGGTGATACTGGTTTGTTCCGATGCACATTTTCTATATTCCATATTTGCATACTAATAAGAACAGATCGATTAATTAAAGCTACTCTATCATAGTGTAGATCAAAATTGGTTAAAACTAGTGAATTTATTTGTCACAATTTCATTCAATTGATTTGTTTTCATTATAATAATTAAATTGTTATTATTTTGTTATTGAGTTGTTAAAATTTAATGTTGAACTAAATAAATTAAGTAAATAAGATATTAAAAGCTTAAAAAAAATGAAGAAACCATAGCTCTCTATTATTTCTCAATATCACATACACAATTCGCCCCTTCGCCTTCAATCAAAGTTAAAATTATAAGACATAAATTGAAAGTACATTAGAATTAGAAGATATTTAAACTTTAAATTATAGAAGATATTTCTTGTGTATATAATATATTTCATGAAATAATTACTTTTATTTTTACCATATATTTGAATCATTATTACGTCATTTACATAATATTTAAATAAATTTCATATTTATTACATCATCTAATTCAACGTTAAATTCAACTCTGGTTGAACCTCTAAAACTTAAACTCTTCCTTCTTGTTCAATGATTGGTCCGATTTCCAAAATCATAAATGATTATTTTCTAAATGCTTGTCCAAAGTGTACATATTAGGATGTCATCACAATTCATCATCACAGTTATGCATATAAGATAGAAAGATTTTCATTCATAAACTACATAAACATTCTTGAGCCACAAAAGACCTCAAACGATATGTCCAACATTTCATACAACCAACCATCACTAATATTAAACATATTCCACATCATCGGGCTACTTGCAAATTTGGTGATAGCCATTACAGAAGTAAATTTTAAGAAGATTGATGGGCTATTAAGCTTATCGAATAAATCAATCAATCATGGAATGGGACAATGATATTCAATTTTCATTTTGTTAATGGCCTAATTGCCAATGCGCATTTGCTATGTATCACACAATTTAGGATTAAGCAATTTAAGAACAACATACGGACTACTACTCTCCCAAAATAACCCTCATTAATAAATTTAGCACCTAGTCATAGTCCATATGTGCATGCAAGGTGATGTATAATGATAATCTTGGTAATGAAACTGATAATATTTTAATCATAATGTATTGGAGGGATGCCAATGAGCATTCTGAATATGCAGAACATCCTAATAACATTTTAGATTTGGCTATTTCTTTAGATATCCACATGACGTCTTCAAATTATTCAAGAAAAATATATAACATATTTGCCTTCCTCAAAGCTCATATGAAGTTGACTTGGACACCGGTATGTCCTCACTAAGTGCCTCAATGACTTCCTCTTTTTGTGACAACAACATAATTCGCTCACTTTCTAATTCTAACAAATATGTGTTATTGTACCCATCATGGATTGTATGTCAATCATATAACAATAGATTTCTCAACAATAGTTGACCAACATCCATCAAGAGAATATCGAGGTAAATTTCTTTGTGTGCTTATCAATAAAGAAATTAAGCAAATATCACTTCTTTAACTTTATCTTTTTTTCCTTTTCACAGCCAAGAAGCTTGTAAGGCCTTAGATATTCTTGCATTAGCGACATATTCTTCACTATGTAGGTGGACATAAGATTCTTATAGCTAACTCCATCAATAATGAGGTTGTAAGCCTTCCATTGTATGGTGCATCAGGTGTGAAAAACATTGTGCCACTAACAATTCAATCCTTCATCAACAGATGGATTTAACACGCTGTAAGCCATGCGAAGATCCCTTCAATATCATCTACCTGTTGATCTCTTTCCAAAAAATGGTCCCAATTCCACATCTTGGACTCTTCAACAAATGTGATCACTTGTTGATTAGGACAACAAAATAGGATGTGATACAGCCCATGGAATTTCAAGAACTCCAATGTTTTTTACTTTTTGGGTTAGATGATAAATTGTTCATGCAATTGCTGATATTGGTCTCTCATTTCTAGTTAGAGAGGTTAGGTCTGCAAACTATAGTTTCGCAAATAAGAACATCCTCCCTTTTTTGAGATCTGGTTGAATTATACCTAGGAATATGCTATTGTCATTCTATCTTCACAGCAAACTTTACATTATAGAGCATCCAATATTACTGAAAAAGAACTACACATGTAATAGCTAAACACAAATCCCAAAGAATCTTACAATTATATGTGCTTCATGCTCAACGACATCAAAATTTTCCATAAGTTATTTTCTGTAACTTAATAGCTACAAGCAAGTTACCGTAATCAAGTGACACTTCATACCTGAAGAGCCGCTTCTACGTATGCATCTAACGAATGCAGTCATTGGGATTCAGCCTTCCTTCAAAATCAAGGATGTCCAACTTCACCTTAAAAACATGATATTATCTTCTTGGCTCATGCATAGGTCCACAGTGAGGCAGATCCTTTTTATAAGACAGCTCATTGGCCATTTGATCGAAGGGGTTTTTCCTACTCCGTAAATTGTTGAATTTTTTTTTCCATTGGCTCTACTTGAATTTGTATCAAAATCAATGGATAAAGTACAGAAGATCTATGTCTGGGAGTTTAACATTATAAATTTTACTAAAGAAAAGGATATAGCATTAAGTTAAGCTCAAATTAAATTGATTCAGAAAGGAAAAAAGAAGGCGGGCTACCTGGTGGATGAAGTCAACGGAATCGGCAGCTGCATTATAGATGGAATCGGCGATCCTCATGAACGAGGGGTTGACCGTCAAAGAGCGGTCAACCCACACCCCGTTCACAAACGAAAGCAGCAGCTCATTGTCACCGCCACGTACGGCTTCAATGAGAGTAGAAGAAGCAGAGTGGAGATGGTCAACGGTGGGTGAGCCGAAGAAGGACAGCAGCTGCTGCAGCGTCTCTCCCTTAGCACCTGCAGCAGTAAGGCTCAGAGCTGCGCGGAGAGAGAGCGGCGAGAAGATGAAATTGGAGCCTTCAACCGCCGCCGGAATCCCCTTCAACTCGGCTATTTTAAGTAACGGGTCCATTTTGCTGGCAGTTGTTTTCAAAGGCGATGATGACTTAAGGACCCGAGGAACTGTCTATGGAGCTTCAGTGCTGGATAGCGAAAAAAGAAGAGATCTAATTTGGAAGAATGGCATCGGTGGAGACAGAAATGATGGCGAGATATAAAAGCCCTGCTCTTTTTTAAGAAGTATCAAAAGTTCTGCTCAGTATAATTCACCCAATTCCCATGAATTTACATATCTATCACTTATAATTTTGTTATTTTCTTTTTTCTACTCAAATCTTTTATGACAAAAAAAGATCAACCTTTAAATTTTTGAAATATAAAATAAATCATTTCATACATAAATAACATTTTCATACATAAATAACATGATATATATATATATATATATATATATATATATATATATTATTTTATTTTATTTTATTTTATTTTATTTAAGAAAGAGCAAGCTCATGGCTCCCTACATGTTAAATAAAAGTGGGGAAAAGCCCCCAAAAAAGTCATTACAATAAAAGAGAGAAGGGTCAGAAATGGAAAGGCTAAGCTAGAAACAGAAATACAGGAGGAAAAGAGAAGAGAAGAAGAAAAGAACAAAATTTTAGAAATTAAATCTCCTGCGAAGGGGAAAATCCAGGAAGGGAGGGAGTAGCAATTCTGAAATGAGGCAGCTCAAGAGTATCTCCGTGGAGCAGGAAGGACAGAGGCGGTGGGGGTTGAACAGCAACAAAATTAGCTTTAGAGTAGAGCCCATGTCTTGCAAGCCAGTTTGCAGGTTTGTTACCCTCTCTATAGTTAAAAGTAAAATGTACATTGAGGATAAAATTGAAAATCTTGATCTTTTGAAACCATTGGGTATGGGACCAAGAAGACTGGTCCTCAAAATCCAGGAGTCTTTTCAGCAAGATGAGTATACCTCCATCCAAATGTTGTGCCATCCAGATTTGTAAGCAAAAGTCAGAGTTAGGGCTTATATTGTATAGCAGGGCTATACAAACGCCTAAAGATAAAATGAGGATTTACGTTGCGTAAGCAAGCAACCTTGAAGTCTTATGGCTTTATTGTTTAAGTCTAAGGAAGGAAGATTGGTTTAGCTGAGGAAGACATATTTTGCTGTTGAAGATAGCCGTGCTGCCCACCATGCTAGCTCCAAACTCCTTGTCGCGACGAGTTTGAGTTTTCTAGTGTGTCAAGTTATAATGTCAAATCAGGTGGCCCTATGGTTTAA